CCCTCCAAACTGGCTGAAGCACACAACATACACACACGAACACACACACACACACACAATTAATCTTAATTAACGCGTTAAAGTCCCGGCCCTAATTTAAATATAACACATATGTAAATAACTCACTATGCATTTCACTGGCCCTTATAATGGATTTATTGAAATATATATAGTCTGTGATTTTCAGAGAAAACTGCAATGTGTAATTCCCAACACAGAACATCTTTTTAATTTAAACTCTTTACTATTGTTGGTGGTAGATTAGAACATATTTGACTCCAGTGTCCTCTACTTTTCATTGCCAGGGTTTATTATAGCACCCCCATAGATGCATTAAAGTTGTAGACCTCCTGGAACGTAGTGAGCTTACATAAGTAGAGGGGAGCAGCTGGGCCTATTTTTTAAGAAAAAGGAAAGGAGCAATTGCACCCCCACCCACCGGCTCTGCACTATAGGGATTGTATGGTACCCATTTCCTAACTTTAACATTTCCTACACTCACTATCTGGCCTCAGGCTTCTGTGATTCTTGTCTTACCAAAAACAAGAACATCACTTACTTCATAAACAAGTTGGCGTCAGGTTTTCATAAAATCCTAACTGAGGCCAAATTAGATGTCATGTTGTAGGAATGGAAAAGTACCACAATTAGCTCTCTGACTAATAGGCCCAAAGGAAAAACAATAATGAGGCTGGCATAGGTTACATCAATAGCTATGGTATTAAGTAGGAAGGTAAAAAGTATGTGGAAAAACACAAGAAATTGAATTAAAGTTTAGAAGTTATTGAAAGTCTTAATGTCAATCAGAGGTGTTTAACTGAGTACGGTTCAAAGCTTGAGTCAGCGAAAGGGGAAAAGGTGCTTTTTTGTTACTTAACATAAATATGTCATTAAGAGGCAACATTAAAACATTTAGTCCTATTTAGTGATGTTTAATTTATTCCATCCATCACTCCTGAACGCAGATTGAGGTACTCAGTGAGATGGAAGTCTAAAATAAGACTGCATAAGTATTTCTCTACACACAAACCACTATCTATCCAAATGGCAACTACATTATAGTGGTTTCTGCCTTGCCAAAGCCCAGCTGGTGAAATGAAACTGGAGCTCGGTAGGAATGTGAGCAGTGTTGTACATTTTGGGTTGAAGTGCATTTTTGATTGGTTGCAGTGGTTCCTGGCTCACCCTCTTTCGTGCTGGGAGACAGCACCCTGGGATTCATAAATGAAACTCTGGTGGCTGGCCAGAAATGTATCCTATCGGCTTGTTGGTCCAGCTGGTTGAAATAACTTGTGGATGATTTATAATTACTAGCAGTGGGACATGAGACCAGAAGATATCGCTGATATCTTTAAAATGAGCCTGAAACGCTTTCTCTTAAGACCAGGATTGGGCTGAAGGAGAGATGCTAGTGTGTCATTGTGCAGCTTTTAAAAGAATGGCTGGGTACACTGTTAATATGTTTTAATATATATTTTCACATTATATCAGACATTTTAATGAGACACATGGTGTATGGAAAGTAACTGAGCTTTTTCTACCTTAGTGTTAACATTAAGCTATTCTATACTTTTACAACATGATATTTCATCAAGACATTAACCTTTTTATGCAATACATTATTCATACAGCTCCAGTGTAGTTAAGCATTATACATTTATTTAAATGAGCTTCCATCTGCAACATTAAGGTGCTGCTTACTGAATAATGAATTTACTTTAGTTATACATTTTATACAATCAAAAGCTGAAATGAGCCATTCTACATGCAGTACTTTTATTTGTAATACGTAACCTCATTTGCTGTTAATACTTCTGTACTGTCACTCAAGTCAAACTTTAAATGCAGCACTTTTGCTTGTAATTAGTTATATTTGCATTGTAGTATCTTAGGAAATTTCCTAAACCACCGTACTACAGTGCTACTTTTTCTCCTCTAAGTGATTTCCTAAAAATAATTTGTTTTTGTCTCCGGACTCATTCCAAGCTGCAGTTTTCTTCTTTGATCTCTCTCTCAACTCCTGGAATATTTCTCAGTGTTATTCGTCTCCCCCCTCAATTTGCTCCTGCACTCGTCTCCTTGTCTTCCCACACATGTTTTGGCCAGGAGGGTGGAGTGTGAGGATTGCACTGTTTATATTTGAATGGCAGTGTGCGATGAGCAATAAATTATGGTGTACAAAGCCTGCTGATCCCGAGGCTCGGGGAAACTCTCTGATGTGGTGGGACTTGAAAGCAAAGGGCCACGGCTCGAGACCCAAAGTGATCCCTCACTATCATTAAATACTATCATCCAGGGTTACTAACATACATACTGGACTTTGGGAACCCACAATCAGTGGACCATGTTATATTCCATGGTTAAAAGTGTGTATTTAGATATTTCCATGCAACTTCTAATGTGTCTCAGTGGGAGACATTTTGTAGCTCCCAAATCTGTGCAGTGTGGCGAATGACATGTTTGCAAAGAAGGGATTGTTGTTGTGGCTTGTCCGACCCATGATGCATCTCTGCAGACCTCATGTAAGCCCTTAATGAATGCATGCATGGGAAAATATTTTGTTTAACCTTTGCACTGTGTTCAAATGGTTTGGAAAAGCTCTTAAAGTAAGTGTTCTTTCAAAAATCCAAACTGAGTGGTAGTGCTGCTTTATAGCTTGGACATGAGAATATTTGCATTATGACATGTCTTCACAACACAGGAACCAATATTATCCCCCACTTAAATTAGGAAATCAAAACAGAGCTACCACACACTTGGTTTTGGTTAAGCTATTCTCCCTTCTGCTCAAAGTAGGCAGCCCTAAACCCCCTTTACTGCAAATAGTTATATTGATGGTAAATCTTGCAAATGCTGAGTTTCCACCTGCAAGTCATCCAATCTTCTTATGTAACCAAAGTGACAGCTGATAGGGTCACTAACTTCCATTAAATCATCTTGCATCCTAAAGGTGAATGGCAGGCAGTTGAAGCCCTTTTCTCTGTCCTTTGCAAAAAACTATTGCACCATGAAATGAGATCACGTTCAGCTGGACATTGATAATGCGTGACTGTTGTTTGTCTATAAGCCTACAGTTCACTTGGCTCTGAGAAAGGACTCGGGTTGTATCTGTTTAATACTATGGGATGCCCCCACAGGTACTGGAGGTCAGGGCAATCCCTTGTCTTTTCTCATGCTGGCAGTGAAAGGCAGGTACAAAAACAACCTTTAAGATAACAGATAAGAGGACTGCCTATGGGACAGAAAGGACGGGGGTAGATGGGTGCAAAGAAAAGAAGAGGAGTTAAGAGGAGGGGGAGAAAAAAAGCCCTTTTTTTCAATTTGTAAATGTAAGTAGATCTGATGATGATAATAAAATACATTACTTTTCCCTAAGGTCCATGACCGTCAAAACAATTAAACTTAAGATCCACGGATGAGAGGGCCTCAAAAGAGAGGTTCAAGGCTCAAGTTCAGCTGTACGGCGTCTTAATGTCGCCAAGCTAGCCATGGGTAGCAGTCATCACTTAGCGTGAACTAGGTTGGTCAGATCAAGAGAGAGGACATGCTTATGTCGACCTATCACTCTCTTGGGAATGCTCCTTTTCTCCCAAAATGTTGTAATATGTTTAGAATAACTATAAACATACTGAGTTTGGAGTTACATTTGTGTGTGGGTGCACTGGTAGAAAGAGGTTCAGAAGAAAGGGCCATCTAAAGAAAATAAGATTGCATGGGGCCATTTTTTATTTGAAATATTTATGAAAGCAATAAAACGTTATTTACATTTCGTAGAGCACTACAAAAATGTTTTGTCTGACCTTTTAAATCAAAAGAAAGACAAAAAGTACATGTATGCAGGTTTTATTAAAACCTAAAACTGTTCAAATTGGACATTTGATATACTAATCCAATATCCTTTACCTTTCATATTGGATGTGTTATAATAATTAATTGCAGAAACTGAAATGTATTGCAAAATGGAGAGCATTCTTGGACTATAGGCTTTATATTGGCAAATGTAGAAGACATAGCAACGTGAGCAATAATAACAGCTAACATCAAAGCAACACAATTGAGGTTTTGATGCATGCCAAAAAAGGGAGTTGGGGGCAAGTTTAAGGTTTTATTGGATGACAAACTTCTCCAAAACGTTACCCCTCAAGCAGCTCCAAACCCAATGTTAGACTATCTTCTGACATTTTTCTATTATGAAATGTAGTAGTCCTATCTAACGCTTGGCTGTACTTTTTTCTTTTTCTTAGATCATACTAAATTCGATGCATAAGTATCAGCCGAGGATCCACATAGTGAAGGCGGATGAAAATAACGGCTTTGGCTCCAAAAACACGGCCTTCTGCACTCACGTCTTCCCGGAGACAGCCTTCATCGCGGTGACGTCCTACCAGAACCATAAGGTGAGTCCTGCACGTGCTCATTTATATTCTCTTTTACGTTTGTATTGAATTCTTGACATTGTAAATAGCAACTTTAAAATCGAGCTCTATTTTATAACGCAATTTAATTTTAACAATGTTTTAAACATGGTAAACAACGCTGCAGAAATACAAGTTAACGAGATATTGCGCGTTCAAAATTGTGCCACATGTTTTAATTCTTTAAAGAAAAAATATATAAATGACAAAATTAAAAAAATAACATTTCACATATGCAAGTAATTGAATCCTGCTTGTTTTTAGTTGAATCTGTCGGTAAACTGGATCTGCTGATAGCGGGAGAGAAAATGAAAGGCGCTGTTCAGACGTTAAAGTAAAGCCTTTTCACTGTCAGCTGAAAACCTCTGATATCACATAGAGTCATTGACAGACGAGAGAAAAGTTCAGATACCCGACTAGACGACGTCTGACCTCAAGAGACTTGTTCCAGGTTCCAGACCTGCAGCGCTTTGTAGAGCGAGACAAGCCGCAGATAAACCGGATAAACCCCAGTAGGCTATACCCAGTATATATTATAAAACTCAATAACAAGAGGAACTGCAACAACCAATCATTATTATAATGATTATTAAAACTAAATTAAAGTATTTTAAGGTAATCCAAATAAATAATAATGCTTGTTTGCAAAACTTTTTCTGGACATTAAAATGTGAATTGGTTGTTTTTAGTCAGGATAATAAATCGCGTTCATAAACTTAATAACCAAATTACTAAATGATCTTTAGTTATTATCGATGTATTCTATTTCAAAATCACCCTTTGCACGTTTGTGGCAAATGCATGACGTTTACAAAAGAAAGTTTATTCTAAATAAACAGAAATGTTGATATTAAATGGATGGAAAATATATGCTAAAAGTTACACAACAGACAGTGCTGATGTATGAATTATAAGGAGAAAAAGTTTTCGTCAAAATACATTTGTATTGAATGATTAATTATATATAATTTATATAATATCAATTATGACATAATTTAGAATAGTTTCAAATATGTTTTCTTTATTTTTTCCGTTGAAGTTTTCCAGTTTACATTCCAGTAACATTAATTAAATACGTTAATAACTAATAGCATGAATTATAGCATTAACATTTATAATAAACATATCAATGTGACGCTATCATCGTTTGCATGGGTGTGTAAAAGCTGAACATATATCGTTGTGTTTGTATTATTTTTAATTTAAAGCAAATCAAAATGTAGTAATAACTAAATAAATGTTTGAGGCCAGACAACTGTTGTTCGTCTCTTTATTTACGACTTGAGGGGGAAAAAGTAGAAATAAAACTCAATATTTACTCTGCTGGATTTCGGCGTGGAAACATCTTGGGAATACAGATGTGCGTAAACAGCGTCTGTTTAACATCATTTACCATATAGGCCTATATGTTCTAGTTTGGGGAATATGGGAGAGAGGGGCGAAAGCTCGTAATGTCCCCGCAGCCAATCGCAGGTCTCCGGGCTTCTGGGAACAGGAAGCACAAATGACCGACATGCTGTAGAAGCCATTCATTATTTTCAAACATGTTATTGGGGGCTGAGATCGTAACCCCGGGCTAATTATTGGGGCTTTCCAGACCTACAGGAAAACAAGAATTTCTGATTTGCAAGCACTTTAATCAAACAGTCTAACATCTGCCGGAGCAATATGTGCTGCAGGCATGTGTCCAATTCACCTGTTAGAATCTCAGCTAATGAAAATCCTCAAAGTGTCTGGTTTCAAGTATTTCCTGTCACTTCTGTTTAAAAAAAAGAAGGTCCCAAATGGGTTTTCTGAAATATTTTTTCCTTGAGAATAAAAAGAGAAAAATGTGTAGCTAATAACTACATAGCTTATATTTACTTTAAATTCAATACATTTTTATTTTAAGTAAAGACATTCTATATATTTAAATAGCCAAAAGCATCTGGAAATATGTTTGTATAGGCCTCCATTATTTTAATGAGCCTATTTTGGACAGTCTTGTAAAATTGTGCACTCTTTGAAGTTTGAATTTCACCCGATTGTCTTTGGTGACTACCAAAATATTTTTTAAAGAATTCATATTTTTTTGGTCTTTGATTATTTCCAGAACCAGAGTGTGTTTTTACAAAATCCATTTGTTTTCTCTTCAGTAAGCTGAACTCTGTATAACTTTGAAATGAGTAATTATTTGTCTTGTATTTCTTATTGAAATACCACAGAGGGAAAAAATGCTAAAGCACTCTAAACATTTTTTTTAGATCTCTATCTTTAAAAAGATGAAACAATATATAAATGCTCTGCCAGGCTGCATGCAATAACAAGAAGCTAGCAGAGTGTCACACGAGAGATTTTACAAGTTTTGGTGAGAGTGTCAGCCTGTGTGCAGACAAACCTCCAGTCTTGTCAGAAATCTGGAAGCACACAAGAGCTGCAAACTAGTAACCTGCCAGAAACCAATGCTCACAAGAGGGATATCCCTAAAAGCATCTTAGGTTTCTTTAAATGTGATCTATTATTTTATTTTTTTTGGTTAACTTATGAGCAGTTATGGATGCATCCAAAAACAGTTCAAAACTCGGCTCCACAGAAACATGTAATACTGTCATCATCAGCCTCAACTTAATGAAGAAATGTTGCAATTTTCTTCAATTAAAAAAAACATATTTATAGGTTAAAACATTTTCAAGAATGTGTGTGTTGGTTTTAATTTGGGCCCATATAATGTTTTTAAATACTTCATAATTGAAGTTACAAGAATACACATTGCTTTAATTAAATAATATGTTACTAATTAAATGTTTTTTTTGCTGTTTTAGATAACCCAGCTGAAGATAGAGAACAACCCGTTTGCAAAAGGCTTTCGTGGAAGTGATGACATGGAGCTGCACCGGTTGTCCAGGATGCAAAGGTAGCTATTGAAAAAAGTTGTACTTATTTTATTGATTCTGGGCTCATGAAAACATTGAGCCAAACGTAATGATGTCAAATGAGAAGATAGATGTTGCTGGGATCACTGACATCCTCGTCACGCTGTCACTTTACAAGCCCCACTTTAAAGTTATCCTTCAATCACCCAAATGCAAGCTAGTTATGGCTGTTATTTTCAGTGAGTGTTATTTTCAGTGATGTAAGTGTAGTTCTTGACCCTCAGCCAGTTTTCATGCTCAAGATTTTTATGGCTGATCTGGCAGAACCACGAATGCAACATCTCCCTTCCACACAGCTCTTTCTACCAGGATGTTCGTGTGTGTGTGTGTGTTTGTGTGTGTGTGTGTGTGTGTGTGTGTGTGTGTGTGTGTGTGTGTGTGTGTGTGTGTGTGTGTAACTGGTAGTCCAGCAGCCAAGGCAATACTCGACCACATAGCTCTCTCTCTCTCTCTATTATTCAGTCCAGATGAGGGATGGAGCGTGCATGCAAAACACATTTTCAAAGGAGAATATCTGCTTTTGAACATCACGGTCCACGCACCAAACACCCCCTTTCTTTGGGCAGCTGATATACTTTTCTGTATTTAAATGTATAACTTGACATCAGAGACCAGAGCAACAGAATAGAGTCCTTTTTGAATTAAGTGTTTCAGATTAATGTCATTTTTCTTGCTTTGGAGAAAATACCTGGACAGAATCCTGTGCTTTTTAAGAAATGTCACACTTGAAAATATCAAACGAATATTAAGTAACTGGAAGTAGGTGCATGTCATAATTTACTACAACATTTTGAGTGAAATGCATTTCACCTATCAAAACTTGCAAATGTGCAGAGCATGGGTGAGAGTCCAAACCACACCATCAATCAAAGCTGCCAGTGTCCTATCCTGCTGAGTACAGTAAACCATGCACGTCTGCTCTGAGTTACAATGTTGAAGGGAGAGCTTATTGCAAAACCTGGTCACTGTTTCAACTGAGAAGATTCCTGAAATCAAAGAGCCAATGTCGCACAATGATCTATTGACGGATCCTGTGGATTAATAGGAGTGAATACATGCTGGGGATTTTACTGGGAAGGGTTTCCCTGGAGGAGCCCTCTGTGTGTGTCCTAAATTGGTGTGATTCACAGATGGTGAATGTTGTTTGGCTTTGAGAGAAGATTACAATAAATCTAATTCATATTGTTTATTTTTTGTAAATACACTTTTGCAATGCTTTCGGGGTTCCACCCAACTAACAATTATATTGGTGTGTGTGTGTGTTTTTTTTTGCACTTAGTACCAAGGAGTATCCAGTAGTGCCTCGCAGTGCAGTGCGTCAGAGGGTGGGCTCCAGCCAGAGCCCGTTCAGCGGGGAGGTCCAGGGCCTGGCCACCCCGAGCACCCTGAGCTCCCAGTACTCCCAGTGTGAGAGCGGGGTGACGAGCACCTCACAGGACCTGCTGCCTCAGTCAGGCTCCTACCCTCTGCCTCATGAGCACGGCCCGGAGTACCACTGCATCAAGAGGAAAGGTAGGAGACAGCAAAACACATCTAGTCTTTACTGCAGTCAGTATCTGTGTTAATTGATCTTAACAAGCTCTATTGCAGCAGTCTTTTCCCCCTTGCAAGCTGCACCCTTTTTTTTATTGGGTAAAAACTCTGATGCGTAAAAGAAAAGTAGTTCTGTAAATTCAACCCATATAATCAGTGAGAAAGTAAGAGCATCTATATATAGATATTTTGTCATGTATAGATTATGGCCACTTTCCCACAGTTTTTCTACAAAGTTAAACAAAATGTGTATTTATTTATTTATTTTTTGTATGAAAGAATAAACATGCCTGATCTCAAACTTTGTATGTTAATAAACAAGTAAATGTTTATTTGAAATTGTTTATTTGCATAATGAGCATTTCATGCGGATTAAATGAAAGAGATTTTTTTGGTGTTAGTTCATGGAAATTTGAGATTGAGTTTGCATAATTCCAGAAATGTGTTTGACATGGATTGACCTCAGATTTGTAAATGTAATGATAACTCTTGAGTAACACTATCCTTAACTCTGTAATTCTTCCTGCAGTGGAGGATGACTGCCACTCAGGTGAGCACAGCTATAAGAAGGCCTATCCGGAGAGCTCGTCCAGTGAGGAGGACCATTACTACCGTCCCGTTGGCTACCCCCAGGGCCTCGGCCTGGCGGGCGGGCCCTACCGCAGCGAGTCTAGCCAGCGGCAGGCCTGTATGTACGCCAGCGCCTCACAGGGGGCTGAGCCAGTTCCTAGTTTGGAGGACATCAGCTGCAACACATGGGCCAGCGTTTCACCCTATGGGAGCTGCTCTGTCACCACCATGCAGCCAATGGACCGGCTGCCCTACCAGCACTTCTCCGCCCACTTCACCTCGGGGTCTCTGGTGTCCAGACTTGGCGGGGTAGGGGGCCACGCCTCTCCGCAGCTGGGCGATGGCCACCACCCTGCCATGTACCAGAGCTCCATGACCCACCAGACTCTGGGCCGCCAGTGCAGTCCTGGGGCTGGGATCCAGTCTCCAGCAGCGGGCCTACAGGGAAACGAGTACCTCTACACACACGGCATACCACGTACACTATCGCCACACCAGTACCACACTGTGCACAGTGTCAGCATCATGCCAGAGTGGAATGAGAACAGCTAAAAGAGCTTTTATACACACTTAGATATCAATATTACAAAGGAAAAGAAACTAAGAAGGACCAAAATAAGGCACGGTTTAGATGAAGGTATATTTATATTTTTAGAGGATTTGTTGCTGATCATCTTAATTAGATCAGTGTTGGTTCACTGATGACAATGGATATTGGTGAGATGGTGTTGAAGTAGGAAAGCAAGCATCTTATCACTTATGTTGTTGTGACAGAATCTGCACTTATGAGCAAATATCATGAACATGAACAAAGAGGAGCTGGACCAGAACATAACTGCTCAAGTGCAGAGAAAGTGAACACCGTGGGAATCAAACACTGATCAGAAGAATAAAACTGCGTCAGATGCAAAGCCAGAGGTCCCCGTTTCACGGTGTTCATTAGCTGTGTTGTTTCTTGGATGTACAAGACTCTTGTTTTGTATTCATGTTCCAAAACTGTGTAAAAAAATAGAAAGAAGAAAAAAAAGGATATTTGTCTACTGTCTATTATCCAGAGTTCTCATTTTCTTTTAAGTTTTTGTATTTAACAAATAACTTTGTAGTTTAAAAAGGAATAAGCAGATGGGAGTTTTTGTTGTGGCTCTTTGTTGGGTTTGCTTGCTCATAAATATGTCCTGTTGCTGGGTACATTTACATGAACATCAAGAATTGGGCGTGAATGCCGTTATGAGATACATGACCATAAAAATCACAAGTAGGACAGCACTTCCATTAAATAGTTTATTCATGCTCAGACATTTTGCGCAGACACCCTTTCTTAATGTTTAAACTGGCCACAAGCAAGTTTATAACCAAGCACTAATTAGCTATACAAGTTGAAGCACACCAATGTCACATTAAAGAATAGATCTGGATTTTTAACCTGGGCCTTAGTTTTCCAGTTTTTGTCATTATATCCGCAACTAAATTAGCTATCTGACATTGTGATAAAAAATGTCTTTTCACATTGTAACGTGACCTGCCTAAAGCAACTCCTACTAACCTCCAGGTATATTACTAATACAATAACGCCCATTTAAAAAAATTGTTTTTGGTTGATTTGAGATTGATACGTACATATTACTTTTGGATGTGTACAAAAAAATTTGAAACAGATATTGTCTTGTTCCTCCAAAATTGAAGGACATTTGACTTTAGACTCATCATATGTTCAGAAACACTAGATTAAAAGGTGTTTCTCTGCGTCTTCTGGATGGGAAACAAGGCAATTGGTTGCTATCGCAGTAGACTTTATAAGGTGGTAATGTGTCAGAGCTTTGGGTTTGTCACCTTGTTGTGGTGTTCTTCTGCCCTCAAGTGGCCAACAAATCATTAATGCAGCTTTAATTGTTGTAATTATTTGATCACCGCTACATAAAGATTAGCAATTGGAGTGTGGTTGCCATTAAGTTGAATGGAAATGTCTTTCAGTTTGGGTCAAGATGTTTTTTACTGCCACATCCTCTGTTTCAGCTGCCGAACATTATATCAGTTTTTTTTAGAGCTTTTGGTTACTTTCCATTATAGTATAGCGAGAATTTATTGAAATGGGGAACATCTAACATAAGTAATAATTCGTAGAGTACAGGCTTATGACATTGTGTCATCAAAAGTAATATGGAAAAATGACACTACTGGTATTTTCTTACAGCCATTGTTCGAATCTACAAAAAAATGATTGCACTCAACAAATAGTCAACAAAAATAAAAAAAGACATGGGGTTTTTATTACCGGCAATGATTTGACTCCGGCAATGATTTGACTAATGCAACACATTCAAATGATTACGTTGCAATCACAAGCAACACATGTGGTTTCAACTTTGTTTGTATGATCTCTGTGATTAATCCATGCAATTATCTTTGACCTTTTCAAGAAAATCTGTTCTGAGTTTCGAAAATATATATATTTTATTTGATAAAACACTCAATTGACAAATGACATATTTGCAGTATTACATCAAAAGTATTTTGCATGTAAAATAATATAAATATCAATCTCTTTATGACATAACAACCATGTTCCAATTGTTTGTTTCATTTCGTACCATGCTTTGATTGTGTGTGCTCTAAAATAATTGTATTCATCCCCAAAATGGCACTCTGACAATCAAACTAATTCATTATGCGCCACACAGAATGTCAATTTGAAAATGCAAACATGTATTTGATATACATTATGAAGCAAAGGGCAGTCTCACCAAACAAATTAGTATATTTTAGAGGTATGTTTTAAATGTGGAAAAAGGCAGATGTTTTATTGCATATAGTTGAAAGAATACTATTTATTGATAGTGTTTATTTTTCAACCATGTCAATCAGCTTGCTCCTGAATGTATCAAAGATAGATGGTCCACTTTCTTTTCTTAAGCCTGTTTTTTATGATTTTTTATAGGATTTTCTAATCATACTTAAATAGAAATCAGGAGATTACTACACAGCTGTCAATATAAGATTGAAACACATGGATAACATTGTAAATACAAATGTACATAACAGAATACCTGCAATAAATTAAAAAAAATTAAAGTGGCGTTCATTTGTCTGTTTATGCTGAATTCTGCTTATCCTTCCCAGAAAAAAAACAGTTTGAGTTTGCAGGGCATTTATTGTAATTTGTGTCTGTAAACCACATGAGACACGGACTCCGCAGGACAAGACTATAGCATCAGATAAATGCAGTTGTTCAATACAAGTAATTACACTGCATGGCTCCCAGCCTCCCTTTACCCTGTAGATAATCCAAGCGATTAAATGTCTGCTGTCTAGAAACAGTTGGTTGCAAATTCAAGCTTTTTTACTCAACTCAACACTGTTTATTAGGCCAATAGCTGAGTAGCTAACTACAGCAGATGTGATAGTTATCTCATCATGACTGTTTCTGTGGCGTCCGTGGTCTTTAATGCGGATTTAACAAGAAAGCAACGTGCTGTGTCGCCACACAGAATGGACAGGGGTGCTTTCAGTCACCAGTGAGGAGAGCACCATCTCTTATGAGAGCTACTGATAGTTCTATGTGAAAATGTAGAAAGCTAAAGATGTGTTCCTACATTTACTGATCAACTTCAGTGGTGCAACATGCTACCATAAAATTATTTACCAACAAATTATCTTTCTTCTAAAGTGCAGTCAAACCAGATTGTGACGGTTGAAATGTACTTCAGGCTTGTATGGACAGACAACATGAACTGCAGGGGCTAGCATAGCCAGCAGGCTGACAACAGCAGTATGAAAAGTTGTCAATTGAACAATTTATTATCAAACTCATAATTGTACTCAATCCTATCAGTGTCTTTCAGCTCATTAAAGCCAAACTGTATCCCTATTTCGCTGTGGTTTTTCTTATTACGATGTGCTGCAAGTATAGTGAAGTGTTGGATATCACTCAGGTAATCTTTTGTAAACTATTTCTCTTGTGCAGAGCAGTTTGAGGGTTAAATGAAAGTATATGGTGTAACAAAAAAAATTATAAATTCACCCCAGTAAGAAAACATCCGTAACAACAATCCATTTGGTTTTACAGGGAAATGTCACCCTATAATGTACCATGCTTACAACATCATTAATCGAAACTGCATGTCATGTTTTAGAAACAGTATCATACCCTTTAAGCTCCTGTTACTCGTCCCTTATGTACATCTTTATTGATACATATTCTATTGATTGAATTAGAAAAAGCACTGTTTTTTCCTTCACCCCATCCCTTGAACCTCACAATTTCCTAGTTTCTCTTCCGTCTTTCCCTGTCTCGACCCATCCCCTTTCCATCTTCATCTTTTTTACTCCCCATGATCCTGTTCCCAATCCCTCCAACCTCCCCTACACTCTCCCCACCACCCCATGGCCAAACACAGTGACCTAGACTCCCAATCTCCTTTGATGTGAGCGATGTGACCCTTGCGCTCCAGATGCCCCTGTACCGCCAGTCTTATCCTCTCCAAGAGCCGGCACAGCCCACAGAGAGGGCCGGTCATTAACCCCGCACAACCCGGGCCTCCCTACTGCTTAAACACATGATGTATCACAACACCCACCCCCATATATCCCCTGATTCACCCAAACATGCATGTGTGGGCGAGGAACGATGATGCAATAGGCTCTTTAAACATTTAAAGAATGGGTCAGCGTTTCAAAGGGAGGTGCTGGAACCTTTGGCCACTGCTTCAGTTATCATGGTCAGTGGTTGAAAGTCTTGTGATATGTCAGAAGGAAAACAAATGAATGTCTAATGAATGGAAAGCCTGGATGATGAATTAAACTTCTCGCTGGAACACTGCAGGTTTATTTGGATTATGAATGTATATATTTGCCATACCTGTGCTGATAGGGTTAGATAGGATGAAACGTTTTTATCTGCTAACTGATTGAATAAGATGAAATGTAGGAACAATAGTAGGAGAAGTGTTTATTATAATATGTTATAAGAATACGCACATTGGAACAGAACTGAAATCCTTCCAACTGCTTCAAGTGTGTTTCAGTTCACCCTACGTCTTTTTGTTACTTCAGCAGAAAGAAAATTAAAACAAGTCATCTTAGAGTAATGATGAGTCATGGCCCCAGTCAACCTTAAATCTGAAATCTAAACAAATCATAGTCTGGGTGCCCCACATGACAAAAGAGAAGAGTGCAAGAACAAGAGCATTCCTAAGGGTAGAAAAACGAGGGAGGGGATTACTTTATTAAGATGTACTGAAACATCCAACAACAGATGGATGAGCGTCGCGAACAAAGGGGGGTTTTCAGAGAATCAAATGCATCTTGTGCAGGAGTCACAAACATGTGTTTGAAAAGTAAAACTGCTGGAACGTAAGGTCACTCAGTAGAAGCTTTAAAACAACTTTGGACAGGCTAACACGTCAATGTCAGGGAGCTGTATTAGCTTTAAAATCTAAACATAGAAGGGGACATTTTTGTGAATTCTCCTAAAAAAACAGTGTTGTTCTTCTCAATGCAATTCTAATAAAGAGGCTCCAATCTGGGCCTCAATCGACAGCCCATCTGGCCCATCC